TGGAGATTGATCCACAAAATTTAGTCTTATGATGATTTTTTCCTATGTACACGACATGAGGTTTCTGGGTTGGGGGTAGAATTTTGGAGAGAAATAGTAATCAATCATCACAGTTGTGGGTGATGCGACTTTGTGATTTTCATCCTGCACATTGAACATTCAAGCTCTTGGTTATGCAGTCATCATTTGTGCATGCGCAACATGCACAATAAGAATTTCACAGTTGCATAATCTGTCACTTTGCTTGGTGCTGCTCATTTGAAGGTGGAGAATAGCCATGTCAAAGATTCAGTTCTATGATCATAATGCATTTTAACTATGAAATGGACTCAGACAGCTTGAGTTTGCAGAGGCTTCATGGAAGTCAAGACTAAAATCATTGTGCATGTGCATCATACGGGCTGTATTTACTTAAGAAGGATTAGCTTCCCATCATATCATTTTTTATTTTATTTTTTTATTATTTTAATTTTCTGATGCATATTTGTATTGTATTGAGTTTTATTTTCTTTCAGGATTTGTCTGGCCGTCCATATTTAGGTTATGACTTGCAAATTCCTACTCAGAGAGTCGGAAAATATGACACTCAGGTGCCCCGCTTTACTTTCTTCCCTTTTGCAACAACGATTGCATTTTCTTTTCCCTGCTGTCAACTCTTGGGTATTGTTCAAAGTCTCAAGATGACAACTTGATGTGGATGTAGTTCACACCTTGGAATTTCTAGCTTGGTTTTTATTTTCAACATGGAACATCGTTCTCCCTCTTTTTTCCTTTTTCAAAATCTTCCATTTTCTAAGATTGACTGTTAAGGATATTCATGATTAATTTTAAATTTCCGTTTTTAGTTGGTGGAACACTTTTTCCAGTCATTGGTGAATACTTCTGGGATGACACTGCACATTCGGCAGGTAACAATATAATTTATGCTTAAAATTTTCAATTTAACCTGAAGCATTCCAGTGCTATTGGCTGTAATGCACAAACAGTCTTCACTATCTTTGTGCTTGGATTATCTATATTCTCTCACTGTAGTCTCTGGGAAAAAAAAAAAAGAAAAGAGAAGATGAAAACTCTAGTACTCCTTTGGTCTGTTAACTTGGTACACCTCCACGCTAACCCTGTCACTTATCTATTTTTTCCAGCTCAGTTTATGTAAGTTTAACATTTGCATAATAAAATCATTTGATCTCTCTCTCTCTCTCTCTCTAATATATGTTGTATCTTTATTTTGTAAAGATAAATAGATTTTTTCACTCCTCTCTTCAAACACCTCTGTTTATGTTTTTAATTATGGTCTGCACTATCAAGCATCAAAAGGATATCAATTGCCAGAGTCAACAGACAAACTCGGAAATGGTTCAAATTGGAATCCATGGACAAGAATGGTTTATTTTCCCTGTAGAGAACCCAAGATATGTAACAAAGCTCACTATTGGTATCCTATAAAGAATTAACTAGGGATACGGACATGAAAACAATAAAAAAGCATCTAGGAGTGAATCTCGTTTTGGTGTTGGGATCTGCATTAAAATTAGATCTAGGTTTTAAAACATAGAATGTAGAATGGGTGGCAGATTTTGGTCTTAAGGTTAACTCTCTTAATTGAAAATGTGTTGATTTTATGGTTTAAGTTACTATATATGACATGGCTAATTGAACACACTGCACAATTTGGTTTAGAGATGTACTAAGTTGACAGTACAATGGGAGTACTGGAGGTTTTCCATGATCTATGTTGCAATCCTAAATCTTTCAGAAGTAGGCTTGCATGTTATTTTTTTGTTACAAATTTTCCCTTTTAATCTTATAATTTACATTTTCCTTGTAATGATTAGCTAGGAAACTTTTCTAATCCTGTTTGCTGTCACTTTTATATTTATAAAAGAATGTTCCAATGTTGAGCACAGCTTGCTGGAAGAAATTCTCATCATATTATTGAGGCAACCTTCAAAGCTTTTGCCAGGGCACTTCGACAAGCTACAGAATATGACCCACGTCGCCTCGGGACTGTGCCAAGGTTTGATTTCTTGTTTTCATCTGTGACTTCTCTGGCATCAAAAGCATCACCCCCTGTAAACATTATCTAAATTTTGAAGTTGATTTAAAGATGAGAAAGTCTTATAAGTGCAATAACACTGCTTTAGTCTCTTTTCCTTAATTTTTCCATTGATTTTGAGGCCACCTTAACAAAAAGGTATGGTAAGTGTCTGGTTTGTAGATCTCAAAAAGTTCCTCCTTTAATATCATTTCTTCTTTTTCATCTTGATATGTGACAGTGATTTGTCTCCTTAGTATAAGATTCCTCCTTGGTTCTTCTTGAGCAAATCATTGCATCAAAGTTTTGTGGTTAAGAAGCCACATTCTTTTTAAAATTACCCCAGCAAGTTTTCTTAAATTGGCTGGTGGAGCCTAACAAGTTATTTCTCATCATCTGTTAGCAGTTCACTATCCATTAGGTAGCCTATTTCACGGCACATTGTAAATATATGTAGCATTAGAAGGATTTCTTACGCATACCACATAATATTTCTTATAACGAAAACTCTAAAGCAGGTCTGATTTGTTATGTGCAGCTCAAAAGGGGTTCTGTCACGATCGTAATGCTTCATTATTACTTTAAGGGTTGTTGAAATTTGTTTAAAGGTGCTGTGACAGTGGATGCATTGTATTCAAGCGTCCTCCATGGGATCTATTTTGGTGATCCCTACTAGTTTGTCGTTTTGATAATCAGCTGAGCATCATATATATAAGATAAAGCAAAAGTGGTGTTGGTAGGCATACTACTGTTCTGCTGATGGCAGTACAATATGGGGACGGATATTGTGAATGATAGATTACTGCCCATATGGTTAGTTGTATTATGAACTTGCAAAGAATTGATGTTGTAGTATTTCAAACATTGTTTTCCTCCTTACGCGTGGGGGAAAAGAGGGAGCAGCTGGGAGGGGGTATTTATCAAGAATAAATGGAGCTCATAGCTGTTATTTGTTTTTAGCACCTGTCACTTTAGTGAAGCTTCTTGTTTGTGGCCACTGGCGAATGTACACTGAGAACTCTGAAGTGTGGCCTGTGGGGACTTGATATCTAGCGATTGCCAAATTATTACTCTGCGCTTTATTCTATGGCACGTGAAGTGAATTTGACAAATTTTCTGTCTTGAATAGGACCCAGTACCTTTGCTCTAGTCATATGAAATGCCTACGTTATTTAAACATGGGACTATAATCTTTTCAAACATTATGAGGTGTTGCTTTCCAAGTGCAGATGCTGATGGCTTTGGGATTCATGTGAGAATGAATTGGCAATTGCTAACCTTTTTGTCTTTAATGACCTCTCATATTTATAATTTTTTATTTTGTTTTGAGATTCCTATACCTAAATCATGTCAATTTGGAAAGAAAATCCATATGCATTTGTGCATTTTGGTTGCCCTGAATTTGCTTAATGCATATGCGTTGCCGTTGAATGCTACACAGCCTTGCTAAAAGGGTCGCGGCAATGAATATTGTACAGTAACAAGCTAAAGCGTGTGGGGAATTTTCTATTTACCTAGTGAATTATAATAGTAATTTATAGTGAATTTTTTTAATTATTTTTTTTATTTTTTAATATTGAATTATTTAAAAATTTTACTTTATAATTTTTTTAAATACAGCGGGTTATTATAATGTTTTTCTATATATTTTTTTATTTTTTAAAGTTATATTTGTTGATTTTATTTTTTTAAATATTGAGCTGATTGAGAATTTAGTTTTGTAATTTTTTTTTAAATATTATTAATTGTTATAGTATTTGTTTGTATAATTTTTTTATGATTTTTTATGAAATTATTTTTTTGATTTTATTTTCTAATATTGAACTGGTTAAAAATTACAGTTATAATATATTAGAAAACAATATAATTTTTCTTGTAAATTACTGTTAATTGCTATAATGTTTTTTATAATATTTTTTTAAATTATTTTTATTGATTTTATTTTTTTAATATTGAGTTTGTTATAATTTAACTTTGTAATGAAGCTTAATTATATGAAGAAAATATCGTAATTTTTCTCACAAAACACTGTTGATTGTTACATGGTTTTTTTCTTATGATTTTTTTTTAAAATTTTCTTTGTTAATTTTTTTTTTACTATTAAGATGGTTGAGAATTATAATTACAAGTTATTACAAATAAAACTAAACCATATGCGAAGTACTGTAAATTTTATTACAAAATACTGTGAATTGCTACAGTATTTTAAACATGATTTTTTGTGGTATTTTTTTTCTAAAATTGTATTTGTTGATTTTATTTTTTTAGTATTTATTTTATTGAGAATTTAGCTTTGTAGTTTTTTTCTTTTAAAATACGGTGAATTGTTGTAGTGTTTTTTTATATGATTTTTTTTAAATTTATTTTTGTCGAGTTTTTTTGAATATTGAGTTGGTTAAGAATTATAATTACAATAAAACTAAATCATATGAAAAAAGCATTGTGTGAATTGCTACAATATTTCTCAAAATAGTTTTTTATATGATTTTTTAAAAAAATTATATTTGTCAATTTTATTGGAGAAAGTAATGTAATATTCCTCACAGAATATTGTCAATTGCTACAATATTTGTTTTAGAGGTTTTTCTCCTTTTAAAATTATCTTTGTTGATTTTTTTAATATTAAATTGATAAAGAATTTAGCTTTGTAATTTTTTTTTACTTTTTATTAACTAAAAAATTAAATCATATGATGAAAATATTATATTTTTCATCACAAAATACTATGAATTATTATAAATTATTTTATTCAGTCTCTAAATTTTTTATTACCAACACAATTTTTTTTTATAAAATATTAACTTCATTATATTTTTAATTTTTATTATTTATCCAACACTAATTTATAATTATAACAGTATATTTGTTTTATAAATTCATAGCGAAACAGCATGACATCTCTATACCGTATCATGTACTGTAAGAAAGATGACATTCACGAGAGAACGGGAAAACAGTTACTGAATTTGCTTAAACCATCTTGTATTCATGATGGATGTTAAAAAAAAACCTTACAAGTGTTTGTATTGCATGAATGATGAATCTACAAAATGATAGTGAAGGATTTCTTAGTAACCCTTGAAGTAGTGTCGTATATTTCCTACTTTCAAGGCCTCGGCATATTTTGCTCTCAAGTTCCTAGTTTTCTTTCCGTACTTAAATGGAGGTGATTGCATATAGATATCACAGGCACAGCCTGAATTTCTTATCCAGAAAACAGTTGGCATCGGGGTAGTTTAGGTGATGCGCTTCTGGTTACTCGAGCTTAATTCCTCGACTGCTACAAAATTTCTTCTCCAAATCATTCAATATCTCAGACCTGACCTCTTCCGGGAGTGGTGATGAACCAGCCTTAGGGGGTGTCTTGGACATATGATTCCTGCAAGTGAACCCCAAGAAAGTAAATTGTGGCAGAATGCCACAACTCTCCAAACGGTAACACGTTGAAGATGCATATCTCACGGCAACACATCCTTGGGATCTTCCTCGAGTGACTCGGGGAGGTTCTTCACAACATCTCTAGCTGACTTTTAAGCTTGCCTTTGGCAAAAATCTCCCGGATTTTTTCTTCTCGTTAGGATCAAACAATGAATTGATGGCCCCAACAACTACGTCATCCTATTCTTCCTGTTGATTTATCTTCAGCCGGTACTTGTAATGGTGTGAGAAAGCAATTTAAGGTAAGAACTGCAACAAATGAAGCACTACATACCAAGACATGTCGACGACTTGGCTAAGCAACTTGAGATTTAGAACAGCATAACACGTGGATTTCAGTTTATCTGTTAGGTTGCATTAGAACTATCAAGAAACAAGTTTGATGAATGGTGCATCAGTGTCAGCACTGACCCAGAAAAGAAAGAATGCACAGGAAGGAAGGAAGGGAATTTGCTGTTGCTTACAGTCAACATCCGGTCTAGAACTTCTATTCATCGTCTTGAAAGTGACTAAAGGGCATATTTTTTGCTGCAACAATCACAGCCATTCTTGTTCCTGTTTACTCTTACTCAACCAAGCTGAGGAAGTTAAATCCGCAGCATCCTACGAGCCAACAAGCCATTATTATGGAAATTGAGTTCTGTGCAAGACCAAGAACTGGATGAAGAGTAGATGGGCTTTACCTTGATTCCTTTTCTTCCACACACAGATTTCGCTTTCAATCCCTTCCTCCTCATTTTTCTTCGAAAGAACGGACTCCCACGAATTTATCCAGGACACACCCGCTATTTAAACCTCAAGCGAAAGACTTAAAAAAAGTCAAGGTGACTTGTCGTTTTCCTCAAGACGACATGCAGTACACCTTGAGATCATCCTTTCTAATAGACTAGACCAGACCGTTTTCACCATCTTCTGCCTGTCCCTGCTGCAAGTAAACGCAGAAACCACATAATAAAAACTCCTTCACTCTCTCTTCCTCTACTGCAAATCTTGACATCCAATTAAAACCCCTAATTTCACTTTCTTCCAGAGGATGGCAGGTGGTTCCCACCCCAAATCCTCCACTCACAAACCCTCCTCCTCTTCCACCCCTGCCCCCCACCGCAAATCCCGTTGGGAATCCACCTCCAACAACAACAACAACAATCCACCACCACCTCAATCCAACCAGAAACTCCCTAAACCAAACCCTTCCCCAAAGCCTAACACTGGGCGATCCCCTAAGCCCGCTACTTCTACTGCAGGCCCAATCCAACCTTCACAAGTCCCTCCGTTCCCGTTCCCAGACCTCGGCCCTCCTCCACCACCTACCTACGGCTTTCACATGCTTGAACGCCGCACTATTATGCTCGCCGACGGCAGCGTCCGTTCTTACTTAGCTCTCCCCCCAGATTACCAAGACTTCCCTCGTCCTCCTCTTCCGCCGCGGTTCCTTCACGGGGGCCCCACCCCTGAATTTCTCCCCGGTGGGCCTCGCTTCCCTCCACGGAGCCCTGATATGCTAGGTTTTCAAAATCAGAATAAGAGGAAATTTGAAGAGGAACTAGTAAAGCTCGGAAATAGTAGTAGTAGTAACTATAACAACAACAATTCAAATGGGAGAAATTACACTTTGGGGGGTGCCGGGACTAGTAATGTGGGGGATGAAATGAGAGCGGGGAAGCAAATGAGGATTAGTAGCGGTGATGGTGTGGGGTTTGTCAGTAGTAATAATAATAGGAATGTTGGTGAAGTGAACCAGAGTGAATTAAAGAAAGCGTTTTTGCATTTTGTGAAGGTGATTAATGAGAATGAGGCTGATAGGAAGAAGTATTTGGAGGATGGAAAGCAAGGGCGGCTTCAGTGTGTGGCTTGTGGCAGGTTAGTTACTTTTCAATTTTATTTTCTTCTTTGTTCTTCTTCTTCTTCTTTTCTTGTGAGTGATTTATTGAATATTTTCTTCATTTTACCATACAAATGTTGATGTAGAATGTTTTCTTTGAGTTTAATGGGAGCGAAAAGTGTGTTTTTTTCATGTGTTTTTAGAGGTCGCTCCAGGTTTGGTTAAAAACTATCCTTTAGTTTTTGTTTGTATTTGCGAGAGGGAAGATACTCTACTTCCAGTCGTTCCAGGACTGCTCAACACCTAAAGTCTCGCATAAGTGATGCTTTTGTGTGTGTGTAAGCTTATTGCCGATTGTATACGCTTCTATCCAAGGATTAGTAGTTTGATGGTTTTAACATTTTCCTGCTGGTGTGTATGGTGATATACATGTTATGCTGCTAGAGTATTAGGACAGGAATTGCCATTTCAGTTTTTCTAGAAGGCTGATTCTCTGCCAGTTTCTAATTGATGTTGGATATGGTTCCTTTCAATTTAGGGAAATTATTAGTTATTTAGTGGTGTAACTGAGTACCTTACGACTCTGGCAAGATGCTAGCAGTACTTGATAGTGATGCACTAACTGCAGAAGTCATGTTTGATTTACAAATTATAACTGCTATTGCATGCAGTAAGACATGAAAGTTCTCGACCAGTACATGATAGTTAAAGAGTCTTTCCTCCTTTTAGACTAGTTTAGATAGATATAAACACTTTCCTGGCCATTGTTTTCTGTGGTTACTGTTCATATTCAGTAGGAAGTTTCTTACTGTCATAGATGTCAAGTTGGCTGCTGAGTTTGGACTTAAAGTTGCAATTTTCTGTAGTAGAACATATGCATTCCTTTTGGTTCTCACAACAGGTGCTAACATCATGGTAGATTTAGTGCATTTGATAAATACAGGTTTCAGGTCTGAGTTTCAACCAAGTTACAAAATGAGTTTAAGTATTCACCTTTTGCTGTGCATTTTTTGTAGAATTGGAATTATATGGTCATATTTTTATGCTTTTGCAGATAGGTTTATGGATGCTTTTTCCTGTGTTGATTAGAAGGCGTGTTATCCTTTGATGATTACTTTAATTTCTACGCATAATGAGAATACATACTCCATTTAATTGGATGCTAGTGCATGAAATTTTCTAAACTTGGATGAACTTCATTAATTTGATGAAATTTTTACGTTATTGGGTCAACTTGTCTGCTAAAGTTTCCAAAAGTTGGTTGTTGGTTCACTACCTTTGATGCTTATGACCTGTCTTAATATGCATGCCTTATTTGGAACGTAAAAAAATAATTTAGTTACTTGCTTGGTTCTTCAATTAATCAAGGAAGGTAGCTGGTGCCAGTTTCCATGTGTGATATTTTTTATTAGATTGATTTATTGGATTTTTTGATACTGTGCTAGGGTGTAAAAAATTTATATGTTACCTGCAAACTAGCTGTATTTATAGACAAGCTATATGCCTCTCTTCCACCCCCCCCCCCTCTTCTCTTCTACTTTAGATTGGCGGGCTTTTTTGTTGTAGCTTGCCTCCGATCTCCCTTCTCTTCTACTTTAGATTGGTGGGATTTTTTGTTGTAGCTTGCCTTGTTTTATTCTTCTTATTTGCAGTACAGAATAGCAAATGATTAAATCCCTTACTGTGGGTTATGAATGTCAGCTTGGCTGTAGAATTGGGACTTACATTGTAATTAGTGTGGTAGAACTCATGATACCTTTGGTTCACAATTGGTCTTAACAATGTTGTAGATTTAGTGCATTTATTGTAGACGTGCAGTTTCCTTGTTTGAATTCCAACTTTCAAGTTGGAAAACAGTTTATGCATTCACCTTATCATTGCCCTTTTTGTAGAAAAGGAGATTAGCTGACGTGTCTTTATAGCTTTTCAAATTGGTTTACAGTTGTTGTTCCTCTTCTGTGTAAGCTGGCAGAGTTGTTATGCTTTGAGGATTGCTAAATTCTCAAGTAGCAGTCAAAATGTATATCTAAGAGCATTTTGATGAGTGAGAAATCTGAACAAAGTTGAATTTTGTTGGTTGTGTTTCTTTGCGCATGTATACTCAAAATTATTAGGCTAACTTATCTCATAAAAAATGTCAGCTGTTCATTGACTACCTTAAATGCTCATGGTTTTTCTTAATATGGACATGTATTTGGAAGGTATGAATAGAATCTATTTCCTTGTTTGGTGCTTCAGCTGATCAATAAGGTGTATAATCCTTGTGCAGTATTCTTTATAACATCAAATCTTGGCTTTTCTGCGAACTATATTAAGGTGTATAATCCTAGAATTAATCTACAAATTAGCTGTTTGTTTTCTTCTCTTTTCAACTCCAGATATGGGTTTTGATTATCTTGAATGGTAGGTATTTATCATGTAGATCACTCTCTCTTTCATGATCTCGAGGAGTTACCAATCCCTTTAAGTGCCTGCATGACTATAAGTTGCTTTTTTTTTGGGTTGTGGGCCATTTCTCTTTGCTGATTATTATGAGGTTTGCATGTTGTCTATGTACTAGCTTTAATTCAAGCAAGGATTGTCTAAGGTGCTTTAACCTTGTCCAGCATGGACTTATGGATGTACAAGGTGCTGAAGAGCAATTGGATTCAAGTAGTCAGATGGAAAAAGAATTTTAAGTCTTTAGCGATTGAACATGTGATTTCAGATCCGAATGGGGTTTAACAGGGGGGGTGAAAAATTCGCTAGCCTCACACAAATGAGATTAAGGAATCATTCCTTGGAAGAAAGCATCACACTTTCTATGGTTTGAATTAACCCAGTACAGCAGAGAAGTTCTTTTTGAGTTTCTCTCATTATCCTTTTCGAAAATGCATAGCAGCACTTTGCTTTCTTTTTTATAGTTTTGAAACATTCCTTGTCCTAATTAGTTTTGGAGAACTATCCAAAAAATGCTATTGGTATTTAGAATATGTAAAACCTAATTGATAAATTTGTTATCTTTATGGTTAGAAGATGCTTTTATATTGTAACTATGGTTAGAACAACAATCTTGTTTTGCATAAAGTTATTAAATTACAATTTTGGCCTTGCTTACATGTTTGTCCAACGCGACACTTTAATCCCCAAGTTGCATCAACTTATTTATGGCACAAAGCTGACATTAACTTTAATCTGTAATAGTTCATTCACTATTTTGTATGATTTTGAAAGTGAACTCCCAGGGCTTTATGGTAAACAACTTCTCATGCCCTCCTCCTCCCTAGGAAAATATCAAGTGCCTCCCTCGTGATGGGATAAGTCATGGGAATCAGGACAGGAGCACTCTCCTTATGGTTGAAATTTTTATTAAAAAAAATTGGGATGTTACAAGATTAGGTGTGACATTTGTAAACAACTTAAATGTGTTTTGAGTAAAATCTGGGTTTTTATTTGAGATGGTTTGAGTTTTGCATACCCATACCCTTATGGTGTTCTTGTAAGCAAAACTCAAATACATGAGCATAGTTCGGGAGTTAGTTGTCGTTGCAACAGTGGTGCTAACCAATTGTCTAGCTTAGCTTTAACTTCCTTTGACTCCATTAATCTAGTACTTTGTGTTAACATTTAACTCATTTGGGATTAAATGTTACCCCTTGGCCATTAAGCCCTTAATGACAAATTACGAAAGAGGTTTAACCATTATAGGAGTAGCACTTAATTGCTTTGATCTCATAGCAAGCATACCTGTAATGCAACTGACGATGATTGTTAAGAAAGAGAGTACTTAATTGAAGGTTTGATCCCAGAAAGAGGTGATGAGCATTATAGACTTGCATTGTGTCTTTCATTGATTTTAGTTGTATGCTCATACTTGTGAAGTTGGAATAGTTCATGGTTGTGAGTCTGTTCCATCCCAACCAGAACAGACAAAATACCTTGCGCCGCCCTAAAATCCAAAACTTCAAACCCCTAATTCCATTTCGCCTTAAATTTCGATCCATTTCAGAAACTCTGGCCAGCATATTTCTCTCCTCTCACAGCCATTCCATTCCATGCTGAAAATGGGTGAAGAAACCATATCCCAATGGTTGGCCTTGCTCCAAACTCTCACTCAATGGCAGTAGGAATCCCAATGGCTTATAGGGACCATATTCACTTACATTGATGCAAACTTTTACCTCCTTGCGAAAGATCTATAGTCCTTACCATGGCAAGAGGCAGAAATGGGCGAAAGCTTGACGAAGCAATGCTGCGTGGAGCTCTATCTCCCTCGAGTGGGAAGGAAGCAATCATGTGTCATCACTCTTGTAGACAAGATTGTCAGATGCCAATCAGTCCATGCAGGCTCGTGGCTACTGAAAAGGCATGATTCAGTAACATGGCAGCTGCCTTTTTATAATCCAAAGCATAAAGGATTGTTTTTGCTTGTAATTCTCTCTCTCTTTCTTTCTCTTTAAAGTCATTGAACTTCTTGCCCATTTTATATTTCCAAGAAATCATTCTCCCTTCTTGAGCATAGAAGCAAGTATTTATGTTGGTATCATTTTATTAACATTACCTTTTCTATAAAAACTTTAAAAATATAGCCTCCAATGATGAGATTTTTATCTGAAATAGTAACTTATTTACATTTTTTTTCTCAGATGCCTCAATTAATGAACATTGCTAAAGTTATTTTGACGAAAAGTTACTATATTGAAAAGATTTTCAACTTTTCATAATTTCATTTTTAGATAGAAGTTTCATAATTTAGTGACCTTATTTTTTCACATTTATTTTTTGAATTAAAACATGTTATTGTAAATTTATATATGAATACAAATTTATGTGTGTGTGTGTGAGTCATAGTAAATCTGAAACAAAGTGTCAAAATGTACTGGTACTGAAACACCCCGGACCAATAAAAAACTTCAACTTTCTCTAAAACAGAATTGACAACTTTGCTTATAAGTGTTATATCATATAGGCTTTGCAAGCTACATATTTGCTATTTGTTGGCATTGCCTAACATCATGCTTTTGTGCACATTTGTTGATGAAGGAGCCATAAAGATTTACAAATATGGTGCGTTTGAGTAATCTCTTAGAATGTTTGTGTTATGTGAATCATGGCATTCTATGCACATTTTTCATATGTTTTATTTGCAGTACGTAGCCTGTTCGCAACATTTGGTTATTATCATAAAAAACTGTTATAGCCTTTTAGAAATTGATTTGGTTTTCTCGGTCACATGTGCCTCTTGTTGAGTTACCAGGGTTTATCATTATAGCAACCTAGCTTTAATCTTGTTAACCTGTGTTTTCTTCAGCTCTGTTCTGCTCTTTTCCTTCTTGAGTGTGAAAGTTTTAATTATTCATGATGAGGCTGTTTCCTTGCACGCCTCCAATATTGTAGTTTTTGTCTTGCCTATTGGTTGTAGAGTAGTCCATTTGTATTTTATTCTTTCATTATTGAGAACAAGTAGAACTAGTCTGAATAAGCTATGGTGTTGGCTCTGTAAATGCTCTGTAAATGCATCTGTATTAATGTTGCAATGCTGCATTTAAGTTTTGCCAGATTACACATTGTGCTGTGAGCTTTAATGCTAGTGCCTTTGAGGTTGTTTGGTCATGATACTGTATTTTTGATGGAAAGGTATGCTGTGATATGAAAATTGTTTGTATGATTAGCAGTGTGTCAATGTCCTTATAAGGATTGTGGTTGAGGTCATGATTTTTTTTTTTTGAAAATATTGTCTTGTGGATCTTGATTCATGCTTATTGGGGTTTATTTGGAAGTCGCACATGAATAAATTTTGTTCATTTTTCTTATGGATAACATTGAAGGGTTTCAACTTAGAGAGTCCCCACCATGTCAAAGTGACAGCAAAGGTGGAACTATCACCTTGGCTCGTTTTGATTCAAAGTCCAGCTCTACCTGCTTGCTACACTTCAAAAGTTTGATGTTTATTGTTTAGCCGGATCAAGGCATGCAAAGCACAGGCTTTATGATGTGAGCTTGATGTGTTACTTGTGTGTTTGTGCCTTGAACTTACCTCAGATCTGGTGGTGAATGCGTTTTTGTTATTCTTTAATCTGAACTTGTAGACTTGACAATATCTGAGAGAAACCTGAACTATATTCTTCAATGCCCTTGATATGCACACTTACAGGTCTTCCAAAGACTTCCCAGACATGCATGCTCTTATAATGCACACGTACAGCTCAGATAATGCTGATGTGCGTGTGGATCACTTGGGCTTGCATAAAGCTCTCTGTGTTCTAATGGGATGGAACTATTCAAAGCCTCCTGATAATTCAAAGGCCTACCAATTCTTACCTGCTGATGAAGCAGGAGCAAACCAGGATGATTTGATTATGTGGCCACCAATGGTGATAATTCATAACACAATTACAGGGAAGGGTAAAGATGGGCGCATAGAAGGTTTGGGAAACAGAGCAATGGATAGCAAAGTGAGAGGTATAGTGTGCCCCTTAGTTCCTTTCTGTAGTTGCAACATATACAGTGATATTTATCTGCTCAATAGAACCCTCCTGTTATATAGGATGTACTTCCTGCTTTTTTGCAACAGTTATTAAAGATGCTGGTTACTAATACACTGCCTCATTTTGGTGTTTTTTTTTGGCTAAGAATACTGATGATATTTTTTATTTGGGAGCAAACCTGAGTAGTTGCTCAAAATTGATAGGTTACTTTAGCAGGTGCTTCAGCATTTGTAGCTGGTTTCTTTTAGTTAGGTTTTTCCTTCTATAGTATCTTGTATGCATATTGTTTTATTATGGTATCTTGCATGGTTAAAATTAAGTTATTTAAGGGCTAGGGGTTTGTTGTGTGAGGCCTTTGCTTAACTACATAAGGGCTGTTGTTGTTGTTGCTGTAATGGAAGAATATTTATACTGTACAGACCAGAAGACGGCAGTGCTTGTTCTCTTCATCACTATCTTTTACTCTATACTCACTCAGATAAAACTATTGAGGAAACAACATTTTGAACTTTAGGATCTTTTCGCCTCTCCACAACTGTGAAGTTCATCTGCAGTAACTAGCCACTATCCAAAGGACACTCACTTATGGAAAATATCACAGAAATGTATCAAATTATTATAAAATTTCACCTACCCAACTAAGAGATGTTAAGCAGATTTGGGCAGCAGGTGGAGGACTTTGTGATGCTGAGCAGATTTAAATATAATGCTCTTTGTGCTTTGTGACTCGATAGTTTCTGTTTTAGGGAAGTTTAAGTAGCTAGAATTTGGGATGTAGGTTGCAGGTTTTCTCGTGCAGTGACTAATTGTTATGTTTAGAATCTAATTTGGTGGATCAATCATTTGCATAAGTGTTGTGGATGTTTTTGGCTGTTGCATGATTATGAGTTAGTAAAGCAAGCAAAGAATGAAATATGGAGGTTGCCTGGAAGCTGGGAACAGTGACCCAAACAGTGCTAGAGTTGCAGATTTGTATTTTTTGGTGCTACTTGATGGAAGAATGGATCGGGATTTGCATCATGGGTGGGTGTTTTGCAAATGAAATAAGGGTTGATTTGATGTGAGAAGAAGTTAATGCAGTGATGGAAGTTGGGAGTAGATATAAAAGAAGAAGGAAAGAGAGGAAGAGAGATAGATAATGCACTCATTACACACATGCATCGGCCTCCAAGCTAAAACCAAACACTGATAATTCTGATATTGAAAGTCTAAGAAAGTAACTCTTTATACATAGGTTCTTGCAAAGACTCTTGGGACCTTTTCTTGTTCTGGTTCCATGAGGTTTAGAATTTGTAATTTGAGAAGTACAATAAGACTAGTTGAGGTGCCAAGATAATAAGAGACTTAGAAATTCTTAGAAGAATATGTACTCATGAACCTTAACTGTAGTAAGAACATGAAAAATTGAGCCTTTCTTATCACATTGATTATGGTACTCGTGAACCATAAATGGTTATGTTGCTCAAGGACACACGAAAGAAAACAAAACCACCAAAATCAAAGATCCCAATGAAAACAACAACTGATTGTGCTTTCCAATGGCTTTATTACTTTGCTTGATGCAATGACAAACATGCTTTTGAGTTGAGTTAGATCATCAACTCTGCTTGTTCTTTGCTTTGCATGTTGCTGAAGAACATGTATTTCAGTCATGGTCTGAGACTAAGGATTTCTTTCTTTTTTTATGGATCATAAACTCCTTTTATATTCTTTTTAGTTTTCATTTTCAGTTCATCCAAATCTGTCACTGAAGGAGAAACAAAATAATCCTGAGGGCCCTGGTGGGTGACTTGAATGTTTGTGTTTCTAGATTTGCCAAAGATTGAGCCTCCAGTGACTATCTGGGTTTCAATCTTTACGCATACTGTTTCTGTGGCTGTACATTTTGTATTTGTTTTATGCAGACCAGGCTACATAGATCTCTTTTGTTTTCCTTTGTATTCCTTCAATATACCAGAATCACCTTTAGTCTTACACCTGATGTCAGTGACTTGTCTGTGCTTCCTTGCACGGAATATACTTATTAGCATCTTGTTTCCATAATTTATTAGTTTGCTTTTTCTTTGTTCTTGTTTTGATGTTAGTTTAATTGAAGTCTGTAACAACAGGCTGGTTTATTCTATTTTCTTTTGCAAATTTGTTATTGTCAAAGTCTATTTACCCATTAACCACAGCAAGTCTTGAATATAGGGTGATTAAATTTTGTTTTGGATGATTTACAGTTGCTAACTGATATTTCTAGCGTCTGCTGTTGTTTTCAGCTGAGTATTTTCTTTTTCTTAGAGTTGAATCATCAATTATGAATGCAATATATGGAACCATTTATTTAGTATTTAGTTTATCCTGGGATGAAAACTTGATGATGATTCTTATGAGCTCCATCTTCTGCTCAATATTTGCAGTAGCTCAACTATGCACACTTATTTCTGTTTCTTTGTTTACCTTTTCTGGTCAGATCTAGGATTTGTGGGTGGCAAGTCAAAGTCCTTGTACGGAAGAGATGGTCATCTAGGCATTACCCTTGTAAAGTTTGGTGGTGATCAATCAGGTCTGAAAGAGGCTGTACGGCTGGCAGACCACTTTGAGAAGGATAATCGTGGGCGCAAAGCTTGGGGTTGCATACAGCCTCTGACATTTGGCAAGGATGATGAGAAAAATCCAAACCTTGTGAAGGTGGATCGGAGTGGGGAGAAAAACAGGATTCTATATGGTTATCTTGCAACAGTTGCTGATCTATACAAGGTAGATTTTGAGACAAGGAAGAAGGTTGTGATTGAGAGCCATCAGGAACACAAAGCATCCAAGTAGACTATGAATGATGACATAAGGTACAATGGTGTAATTTAATGTATTGTCATTTGATCTGCAAACATCCGATCCTTCATGGCATTTTATGCTGCAGAAGGTGAGGAGAGCTTCATGTAGGCATTTCATTTTCCTTCTTTTTGACTGACTTCATGTAGGCCGTTTGCTAACTCTATTTAAGTTAAGAGGCAGCCTCTTGGAGTTTGGATGCTAACTTATCAGTTTTTGTACTGACAGCTTGTGGTACGCAGGAATTTTACAGGTTCAGGTCACGTGATTGTTTACATGTTCCCCTGTTATTCGCCCGCTAATGTATAGAAATGAGTTGGCATCATACTTGCAAGCATTGATTATGCACGCTACCATTTATCTGTGCTAACTACACGTAGGATTAAATGCATGGAAAAAGGGAGATCTCTCATGGAAACAGTCTTCACGTGTGTGCTTGAAGTCGGGATGCTGAAATGAAGATGTTTTCTTTGGAATTGAAGGGTGACAACTTGCACTGCGGTTTGGATGGTTTAACAGGACGCAGCGCAGCCTGGCTTCTTTGGAATTTAAGCAAAGTCGCCCATTCTAAAATCATGGTGATTTTCTTGTTTCTTTCTTCCTAAATTCCGTGGGACCAAAAGACAATGCTCTCGTTTATTTATACTGGTGGTGAGTCCGTGCACTGAGAAATTGTACGAGATAAGGCCTTTATCTTGGCCAATTATTTCTGGGGTTCTTGATAATGACAATGTTATCATAACACTAGTCTTGTTTGCAATCATCGTCCTTGCTGCTTTCCAAACCTGAAACACCCTTATGACCACATCTTGTTTTGTTGTTGCCTGCCCTTCTTGTCCTCTCTAACCAGTACCATTGAAAAATGCATGTTTCCAGCCCTTCTGTTATGCCTTATGAGCGTGAGGGGGGAGGAAGCACGTTGCTTTCCCACAGTCGATCTCCTGGGCCATGACATTTTTATAGGAATCGTGGTGAATGGTGGTAGCTGAAAAGTGGGCAGTTACTTGAAAATATGGGCACAATCGCATCTGTGCTCCGTTTAACGTACTAATTTGCACATCGGGCCATTGGCCCAGCAGCTGAAGACATGATGGCATCCTCCTTGCTGCCTGCTTTTTTTTTTTTGTTTCTTTTTTCTTTTCCCAGTTGAATTTGATGGTTACCAACCAAATGCATGGCTGTATCAATCCCCTCTTCTTCCACATCTGTGCTAAAGTGGGCGCTAAAATCTGGTTTTAATGGTCCGATCTCTAAATCAGAGGATTTGAATGAAATTCAGAGGACAGAGATGGTCCGATCTCTATTTGATGGTATGATTTGCTAGTCGGCACTGAGATGACAGAGATGATCCAAATTTTTAGTGTACATTATACCTCGGCACATGCAAGAAGCAAATCTATTCAGTATTCTATTGCAAAAATAAGCTAATGATAAAGATTGAACTGAGATTCAATATGTGACATCAAAGTTCTTCACTTAAACATTAAGCATACAACATTCAGTCATTAGCTGTTGCTAGTTGCAGTGACAGAAGCTCCTCTTCAGGAATAACCCTAATTTGACAATCTGACCTTGGATAGGCTGCGCAGAGCAGCGCATACCCTCGCTCGACCACATCATCACTGAGCATACCATCACTCTGATCAACCGAGCCACTTATTAGCTTTGCTGGGCAAGTCATGCACACCCCAAGTTTGCAATCATGAGGCACAGTCAATCCAGAGTCCAATGCCTTGGATAGTATGGTCTCATCTGATTCCACCTCCAGCTCCGTGGATTGACCTTCATGCTCAATCACCACTTTGTAGGACCTAACTACAGTCTTCAAGGATCTGCCAGCTTTGTAGTGGAGCTTAAAAGAAGAGACCTCGGTGGGTAGTTTATGTCTGGTTAGGATGAAGGAAGGAGATGGGGTGAAATGAAGGGCTGCCATGGTTTTTTGTGAGGTGGGAAATGTGGGAAGCTTTTGTTAGTCTTTAGGTAATTTGTGGTGTTTGATAGGATAAGGTTTTGCCGGGAATTGAAGGTTGTCTTTGGAATTTGTTTGCTTCATTCTAGGAGGGCATGGCCCCAGGCTGTGGCAGTGGCAACGAAAATTTCAACGCTCTGATAATAATTAAAAAGAAAACAAAAAGAAAGTGCTCCGAATTGGGAATTGCAGGCGCCTGCCTTCAAGGGAGACAGATTTATGGTACTGCAAACATGATTTCAAAATCACACTTCCATTAACTGCTCAGCCCATATACAGTGTGCAGACAAGATATGGACAGTGTTGCCTCATAACCAATAACTGCTGCCAATCTTCTTTGTAACTCCAAATTCTATGCACAAACTTCCATTCACATAGCCTGACAATTCACAAGCCACGCCATACAAATTAATGTAAATATTTTTCTAGGTATTGGGATGTCTCAAGTCTGCCAACAACCTCGTTGGCCTTGCTAAAACTTGAATATTTTCAAAGAAGACAAATAAATAAAATTTTACTTATATGTCGAATAGTTCAAACATAACCAACAAAGACTAATATTTTACGATGTTATGTTATTTTATGCCATTGCGAGATTATAAGTAAAGATTATGAAAAATAGAGTAAAAAGATTATCATAAAAAAATCTTCATCGGTAGATCATATTGATAATTCTTGTATTGCGTGTTTATTTTTCAGAAACTAAATATTTATATCTCATAATTAAAAATAGATTACGGCAAAGTGCATATTTTTACCAATAAGGGATTAAAAATCGTATTATTCTTGCAATCGATAAGATTTATATTCCTTCCGTTCCATAAACAAGTAGTTTTTCTCCCTCCTGGCATTAATAATAAAACCGACGACAAAAATCTAAAAATATTCAAAACAAGGCTTAGATCTCACATTTGGTCACATCTCATTCAACATCGAGTTACATACAAACTACGCTAGGTGTCACGTTACAAGAACGGTCAATCTGACTGTGATCCCCAACAATTTTTAGAAAAATCCCTTTTCTTTTTTTTTAGCACCACACTACTCAAAATCCCCGTCTTTTTTTTTTTTTGGGTGTTTAATTCACAGATATTTTTGGAGGTGGGAGGATAAGAAAGAGAAAGGTTTTAGCGTGCAGGGAGGTTGTGTGGGCTGGGCTTCACAACGCAAGGCCCATAATTTTTTCACGGTTTGTGTATTGTGTACTGGTACAGGTGGCGAGCTCCCCATTATTTATTAACCAAATTATTGTTCTTTTGGACTTTGCAGACACCAGTAGTTGCCTTTGTTTAGATGATTGCAGAATCATATACAATTTTCATTTTTGGTGTTACAGTCACATAATCTTGAGAAATTAGAATGTGTTATTTATTCTTTTTTAATGTAAGATGAAGGCACGAGAAAAGAAACGTCTCGATATTGTGGATGCGGTCAAGGATGGGACTGCAAAAGCCAGAACAACAGAAAATGCTGTTAAATCATCAGACCTCTCATTCCCGAGTCACAAAGCCACGGGACTGTCTCAAGCCACGACGCAGAAGACAAGGAGCAAAATCTAAATGCGGCAGCAAACAAATTTGGCAGACCCCTCGATCCTCACGTTTTTCCCCAGAAAAGGAAAGTGGGATGCTCTCCAAGACCAAAACCATGTCTCTCTCTGGAGTTTGAGATTTTGATTTATCTGCTTGACCTCCATCACATCTCTGGTTCTTGAAAGATAGTGAGGATCGGTTGCTGTGGCGGTGACACCCCAGGTTTTGGATGCATCAACAGGATTTTGATTTGGCTAAAAAAACGAAGATCTCTACATCCAGGAATCAGTTTGGAGTTGACAGAGATGAAATATCCAAAACCTGAGAAACATATCATTCCAACATCAATGCCTGTTCTACTTAATTGCATTATTGTTTTTCAATTATTCAGGCCAACACAAACAAAACAAAAAAAGAGTTACAAAACATGGGTGATTCTCAAAGCTTAGTGCAAAACACAAACAGTTCCCGGTGTGATATTAATTGCTGTCATGTGAAATAAATAGTTGTGCTATCATTAAATTACATTGAATAACCATATTGTGCTTAATTATAATGGATCTAATGAATAATGAGTAGAATGGCATATTTTCTAACGTTCAAGTATTTTTAGATTAATTTTCAGGATAATCTTTGACATTTATACTTGTATGGCTATGCTAAAGTAGGTCATTCATTTTTTTCCCCTTGTAGTAGCCACATGCTAAGATTCAAACTCTAAGTAATAGCTAGCATGTTATACGAATCCACTTATCACCTAAGCCAAATCTCAATGAACCTCGCACACACATGCATGCATCTTGCTACCAAATCTTCCAATAGGAAATCTCTATCGACACCAATAATTAAGCAGATGGTTAACCAAGGACTTTCACAAAATCTGCATCCAAATTCAAGGGAGTTAGTAAGCTAGTTTTACCCTAATGATGCACATGTCCTGGTATAACACACGGGGTTTGGCGTGTCAGATCACCATACAATTAAGATCCTGAAAAAATCCAATCTAGGGTCATTATCAAGAAGATATGGATTTACTTTCTCCCACATATATAACTCATAAATATTGGACCCAGCTTCATATATAGCTGCCAAACTTGACTTGAGGAGAAGAATCCTTGAGTCTTACACACACACACACAGCTTCAATGGTTTGTTTTGACACGGAAATTGGTCAAACTGGTGATGAATAGAAGTTTTTGTCTTGGTGATGAACTGATAATTATTTAATCTTTTAAGATCATATTATTCTAGGATAATTACCCCGCCAAAAGATTAATTAATAAGGATACATGAAATGAAGATATTCTAATTTATTCGATAAACTTTGTCTAGATACTCACATAATTAATTATAGGCATGCTGGAGGCCGTCCGCACACCTTGCTCCTGCTCTTCGCCTTTAATTTATTGGAATGTTAAAAAGATAACGATAGACAACGTTCAGATTCTCTGGATCGGTTATTATATTCGGCCCTACTTGTTTTAATTGCGACACGTAACTATCCTTTGCATTTGGCCTCATCTACGTTGATCGATCGCCCATTTTCATCTATTTTCATGTCCTGGTGAATAATCAGAAACAAATCAAGACCGTCCAATTGTTACCTCTATAGCTGACACGACATATATATATATATATATATATATAT